GGGAGCTTTAATGGAAGGGATGCTTCTGCTTTGATTCTTAATAGTCACAGAGGCAAGAAGAGAGAAATAATGTGGAATAGTCTTTCTGGGGAAACTTCATTCAGTTTACAGATGAGGAGCCAATTTTGACCTTGAAAGTCTTCCTAAGGGACTAATTACCAGTGTACTGAGTTGAGACTGAAGCCATAACTGAAAAGTGCCCTTATAGGGAGATATTTTTGTTTTACAGCTTCCCCCCCAAAACAGTAATAATCATTATTTCATAGGTTTACCATAAAGAGAAAAAAAAATCCTCAATGTCCCTATAATAAACTCATGCCAGAGGCATGGATCCTTGCCAGCAAAATGAGAGGATCTTTTCATCTGGTGCTTTTTGGGTGCAGGAAGTGGTGGCATCAGGGTTTGGAAAAGCCAGGCTAAAACCACGTTGTGTGAAACAGTAGTATGCTGGAGCCTTATCATATTGGCTTGTGAGAACTCACTGAGTTTTTATTAATTTGCAAGCCAGTTGATATTCCATTGCTTGAAACAGGCCATGGTGGAAGCATTCATATTTGTTTCATGGACTCTGAGAGCTAGTATGCCAACATGCTATTATGTGGAAAACAGTAGTACTTCGAACAGACTCCTGGTTCTGCTATTTACTATATGTGACCGCAGGAAAAGTTACTTCATTTCTTTAGATCAGTTTTTTCAACTGGCAAAACTCTAAGTATTGCACCTCATGTGAGGAACTAAAGATGGTAATAGGTATAAAGTACTAAGCAAACAGAGTAACAAGCAAGTATTAAGTAACCTAGCAATACCAGTAATCTACCATACACTGATGTTCATGTGACTTTGTCCTTAAATTTCAAAGCAATATTAATGGAATAACAGAGGAGTAAGGGTCCTTAAAAAAAAAAAAAAAAAAAGACAGTGTCAGCAATTTCATAATAATACGAGTATATGGAGAAGAAATATGTTTTTGTTCACTCTTTCCCAGCTACCCTTAATGCAAAATTTCTAACTTAGCATACACTTAATTTCCTTGATGTTCTGTACAAATATCATACAACTGAAAACTATTATAGAAGTACTATGATGGCAAAGAACCCCATGCTTATGGTAAATGTTAACCTTTGTATAAATGTAGGGCCCAGGACTGTTCAATTTGTGAACAGTCCCCCCTAGAACTGTGTAAAACAATGGCCCTTTACAAAGCTATAGAAACCAAACCTTAAAACTGATGAGGAATCTCAAACCAACAGGGAGTACAAGAGCCCAAATAGATATTTTTGTTTGTTTGTTTGTTTTAAAGATTTTATTTATTTATTTGGCAGACAGAGATCACAAGTAGGCAGACAGGCAGGCTGGGGGGTGGGGGGATGGGGAGAAGCAGGCTTTCTGCTGAGCCCAATGTGGGGCTTGATCCCTGGGTCCTGAGATCATGACCTGAGCTGAAGGCAGAGGCTTAACCCACTGAGCCACCCAGGCACCCCTCAAATAGATGTTTTGAGTACAGAATTTTTTCTTCTTCTTTTCTAAAATCTGAATGTCAATCTGAATGCCTTTAAGAGATCAACTTGAGCCCACCATTCCCCATTTTTTACAACCAGCAAAGTCTGAAGGAAACCAGAAGCAAGCTTCCAAGAGCCCTCTCTGAATGAAATCACAAAGGATGCAATCAATTTCTCCCGCAACTGAGTTCTAAGAACGCATAAAGAGTGGTCTACCAAAGAAACTTGTTACAGATCAGCGCCCAGAGCTTTTACTGGGGGCGGGTACATAAGTACACCTATACCTAGCATGTTCCAAAATTCCAGACTCCCAAAAGAAAAAGCAGTGCTAATATAAACACCATTTGCACAGTTTAAGCACAGCAACTTACACTTATCATTTAGAGGAAGTTTTATTTCAGTGTAGAAAACCTTACCAATCAAGTTCCCAGACACCAGGCCAAGGCAGACCTTTCTAAAGTCAGCAGTGTCAGGCCTGCTCTGTCAGCAACTTCTGCACATCCACCTTTAACTTTTCTTCCTTGCCAACCAGAGGGTAGCCTTGTCCCAAGGTCTTTACCCAACACCCCAAAACCTGCCTTCTCTCACACAAATGCTCGCCATTTACCAAGTGCTAATTATCCCCACTGCTCCAGTTTTATTAACACATAAGAAAATAATCCCTAACCTTTAGCTTATCTAGACAAACAAAAGTTGACTTTTTCCTCCAATGTTATTAAATACCACCCTACCAATCAGAACTTCTAGTTAGCATGAGCTAGCCTGGATCTACACTGAGATAGATTTCAGCCAGAGCTAGAAAACAAATCACTTAAGCTGTCCATTGGCTTTATCATGTAAATATATAATTTCCATTTGACTGCTGGAAATACTGAAAATAGTTCAAGGACTCTTATTACCACCCTGAAGACTCTTCTCATCTCTCACTATCAATCTTATCCAACAAAGTGCAGAGTGCAAAGCCAAATGGATTTGATATCTAGGTTTCACAGAGGTAGTCAGCCTCTGTGAAGTAGGACAGACAGTGCACTGGCTGTCAGTTTTACGGCACAAGGGTGCAGCTGAGAATCCACTTCTGACCCACTGGTGAGGATGCACCTGACCCTTAACAGCTTCCAGCATTCTCTCATCCCAGAACCCTTCAGCCCCCAGGAAGCGCTGTACTCTTTCCTGCAAAGGTCCAGAGCCAGAGAAAACAGATATTCTCAGTTTCTGTCAAGCTTAAACACACTCAAGGTTTGGGGAGCTGAGAGCCACCATGGCTGTTAGCAAAGGGCTGGAAGGGTTCAGCAGACTCCACCTGAAGTTATACTCAAGTCCTGCAGCCCATGCTAGATCCCGTGAACCACCTAAAGGACCTGACTGTCTCCTGGGGAACCTAATAAGTAGACTATAAAAACCTGAACCCCGGAACTCCTTGACATTGATGGGACAATCAACTGGGAATGACCAGAGCTTGAGCATCCCTTTGGTTCTATTCTGACAGACTTATCTGTGCATGGAAAATTTTGCATTGCTCTGCCGGTCTGTGCATTTTGGAGGACCACGGTCACTCACTCTCCAACAACGGTGTAGATTGCCTGCCACAGAAGGATTCAGATCTTGACACTAGGAAGACGATCTGCTAGAGACTGCTAGAGACTCCACTTCAGGGTAGAGGCCAGAGACCAACAGGCGACTTCACTATCCTGGCCTCTCTCTGTGCAGCAGGTTTCTAAAACCCGAGACTAGCTCTGAAGCTGTGCTTTTGCTTCACAGCTAGGGAGGGGAAGGATGTATGCCATCATGTCATAATTCACTGAGATGCTAAATAGGAATTTAAGCATATTTTATGGCCGGCTTGCTCTAAAGAATCTCTTTTATTTGATTAAAGTGGTTTGAACAGTACACTAGGCGTTTGTTGGGAGCATCCTCCCAAATGGTGGCATTTGAAGCAGCCATCTAGGACTGCTGGTGCCACATACTCAAGAAACCGGACTACAGGTTTATTTCCTCAAGCTGGAATTGAGTTAAAATAGATTGTAAAGTCATAGGTCAAGTAGTGTCAATTCTCAGTCTGTGGAGCTCTTGATGCTTCCTAATTGTCTTCCATGGAAATGAGAGAACATTCATTTTGATCCAATGGTGGAAAATGTCCTTCCCACCTGGCCGGGGTTAGGATAGGAGACCAAATTAAAGAACACTGGTAAGTAAATCTCAGCCATCTCTTTCAGCAATAATGGGTGGAAAAAGCAAATAGCATTTTTATAATTATCATAAATTTTAAATGAGTGAAAGCCCTATTCAATCAATTGCAAATTCCAAACAATAAAAAAAATCAGAAAATGACTGCCAAAACAGGAAGAAAAATATGACCTTTTTATTAGTGTTTAACACAGTCTCACCACATTTAAGTAAAAAAGTGAATACTCATTAAAAATCCAGAGAAGGATATGAAAAGGTTTCTTCTAACAAAGGAAAAATAAACAGAAAGACTAAAACTATTGTAATCCTAAATTTTTAAGCTTTATTTACATAATGGCTTTAAAAGACTGATCAGATTCTAGGTCATTTCTAACAACAAAAAATCTGCTGGCCACAAGTACTTCCAGGAATTGTACTGTAGGAAAAATGTTAAAATAAGGCATACACCACAGGCAAATGGAACCATGCAGTTTTACCCAGCCTACAAACAGATTTCTAATCACTCACAAACCCAAACTGAACTTCATGTATTATAAAAATGTATAGAAAGTTAATTGAACAAAATGTGGTCTACCTGCATGATCTCAACACTATGCCCCCTTCAGCCAATTTCCCTCAATAATTTAAATGGATTTCAAAGTTTCTTAAGCCCTGTTAACACACAAAACTATGTGGTGTCTAAAATGAGCAATTTGGAAAGAGTTGTTCATATCATTTAGATCATGATTTGCTACCCTTGAAAATAATTTTTAAAACTCCATTATCTTCTTTAAATGAGTGCTGAAATATGTGATGATGATGAACAATTTCAGTAAAGCATTAAAAAGTTCATGGGCAAGTATCCAACCTAACTTTCCAAACTGCCTCTGGAGCCTAAGTAAGGTGGGAATGAAATACAACAGGGGAACTAAAAGACTGTATGATCCATCTAAGGCAGACTCAAAACCAAGTAGAAAACACAAACACAGTGTGAGCTAACAACACTTATCTGTGGGTTGGCTAATGGACTGCAAGTATGTAACTCCTAAAAATAAGCCTGGAACCAGAATCTGAAACTTTTCCCAAATATAGTTGCTTCCTGTCACAAAGTCTATCTAACAGACTCTTCATAGATTCAGACTAGTGCAAAGTAGTTCACATACAGGCTATGGCACTCACCTGGAGATTTCCTGTCACGTATTCACATGTCCTGGAGGGGAGTTAACTATTGCATACAAATACCTGAACTATTTTTTAAAGTCATATTTTTTTCTAAGATTGCAGGTAATTGCTTTAGTTACATAGAAATGAAACGCCACTACCAAAGTAGAGTTTTACCTGTTTAAGAAATCGGTCTGAGGCATTGCTGTGTTTGGCTAACACACTTGGCAGAGATGGGTTTGCATATTCAAACTGAGGATTGTAGGTATAATCAGATTTGAAGAATCTCAGTTTCTCTTTCTCCAAGTTGGTGGGCTTTATAGCAGTCAGTATACAAAATTTCTTCCCAGAAAAGTCATCTCCTTTTTCAAAACTTCTAGACAACTGAGGCTGCAGCTTTGGCTTTGGCAGAGCAGAGAAATGGCGTCGCTTTACTTTGTTTTTGGGTTTAGGTGGCAGTACTATGCTGCTTCCTGTAACAGAGATATCATGTGTAAACTTTAGAGGACTCGACACTGAACTAGTGACAAAGACACCAGGCTGCCTTTCTAGGCAATACCAAGTACCACTGCTCATCATAGACACCGGGGCTTTCATCTTGCGAAGATCTTTACTACGAGAAGAACTAGGAGATTTGCTGGGTTTTCTACATCTTTTGGAGTAGGTAGAGGAAGACTGTTTTTGTGAATGATGCTTTTTCTCCTCTTTGCTCTGTAGTAGGACATTGTAACTACTGGTTCCAGTTGTGAAAATGTCCTTTAGTATCCCAGAAGATAAATGTGAAATGCTTCTTTTGCTGTCAATGATCAATGACTCTTCTGCATTTAGAACAGACTTCTTAGCGAGTTCTTGCTCAGGCCAGTGAAGCTTTTCTGTGTTAATAAACAAAATCAAAACAAAAGAAATAACAAAGATACCAGATGAAGCAAATTGCTTATTATACAAAAAGTATTCTGAAGGTTCTGTAAATTGTATAATTTTGCAACAATCTTTAGAAAAGATATTTTAAATATTAAAATATGTTACTACACTTTGGCCATGCTAGACACTGTCACTTCTATACAAGCATATACATGCTAAATTATCTATGAAAATTATCAGCTTCCAACTATTAGATGATCAAAGTTTAGTATCAATGTGAGATAATATACATAAATAATTTGAATCGTCAACTCTGAATACGACTTCACAGAAAGGATATCATTTTCAATAGTGTCACCAATATCAAAGTAAAATTGAAGGCATTTTCAAAGCCAACACAATCTTCAAACTAGATGCTATAAGTAAAGATAGCCATCAGTAAAAGAAGGACACTGCCTTATTTATCTCAAAAATCATTTTTAAAATTAAATAAATGATATGTGTATGTTAAAGCATGTTTTAGTAATGTCACTTGATTGGTTAATTTTCTGAATTCTAGGCTATAGGTTAATATGAAAGAAAACTAAGATTTTTTTTCTTGCCAAGTCTGAAAAAAATTATAATTACTATCACATAGATATTAGAATATCATATGATAAATGAAGGAGAGGTCAGTTTTGCCTTTAGATTTCACCAGTGCTTCAAAGAGGTATGAATCACTTGATATAATGGTGGTCATGCACTGCTTTAAAATTGTGTTGAGGGACGCCTGGGTGGCTCAGTTGGTTAAGTGGCTGCCTTTGGCTCGGGTCATGATTCCAGCGTCCTGGGATCGAGTCCCACATCGGGCTCCTTGCTCGTCGGGGAGCCTGCTTCTCCCTCTGCCTCCGCTGCCACTCTGCCTGCCTGTGCTTGCTCTTTCTCTCTCTCTCTGGCAAATAAATAAATAAAATCTTTAAAAAAAAAAAAAAACTGTGTTGACCTGCATTCTTTCATTCCACAAATAGATGGAATACTACTAATTAGGTACGTGGCTATGAGAAACATCTTTATAAATCCATTGTTCCTGCCTTCAACCAGCTTCTAATCTAGCTCTGAAAGCAAGGCAGTCCTATGAAGAACTGAATAATCATCCAAGGTAGTGTAAGTTTACATGTGAAAAATAGAAAATACAGACAATAACCTAGAAATCAGAGAAGGACAAAAGCAATATGAAGAGAAACAGATGAGATTGCACCTAGACCCTTAAGAACTTTCTAATTTAATTCTAAACTGACAAAATGAGTTTGTCTTTTTTTTTTTTTTATTTGACAGACAGAGATCACAAGTAGGCAGAGAAGCAGGCAGAGAAGCAGGCAGAGGGGGGCAGGGAAGCAGGCTCCCCGCTGAGCAGAGAGCCCTGATGCGGGGCTCGATCCCAGGACCCTGAGATCATGACCTGAGCCGAAGGCAGAGGCTTAAACCACTGAGCCACCCAGGCGCCCCCAAAATGAGTTTGTCTTAAATCCTACTTACCAAAACTATATTTCAAGCTGACTCCTATCTACAAATCTGATCTCTGGCCAAGCCTGCTTATAAACCTTTCCTACAAATGATATAATTCTCTACAAATGACATATAATTCTCTCAACTAGTTTTCTTTTCCAAGTCTCAATGGACCCTTATGCCTCTAGCCCCCAACCATTGGCTCCTACTATGGAAACATTCTCAATGCTACCCGACTTGGACAGATGCCTGCCTTGCCACGAAACATGATTTCAATTTTTTGAAAATTTTCTCCACATTCCTCTGTCATTCATTAAGATCATACATTCAGGAATCCTTTCTATAGTAAGCAACGGTAAATACTAGCAGCAATAATAACGACAGATACCATTTGTTGACACTTTTATAGGAGTTTGGGATTTCACAGAAAACTGTACATGTTATATCACTTAACTCTCAGAAATATTAAGTAATTTGCTCAAGGTTATATAACAATAAAGTAATAAACTGCAAACTGATTTGAATGCAGTTGTATGTGTTTACAGACTCCATGCATGTTGTGTTATGCATGGCCATTCGTTCATCAGCACATGTTCAATATTAAGTCTGCTACATGCATAGCACTGCACCTTTTCTTCCTCTGCACAGAACACAGACCCCAATAAGACATGGTAATCTGAATAACCAATGTACTAAGATAGGTACCAGAACTGTGTTTTATTCATTTCTGCCAATACCTAGCATGGATCTGGTAGACATTTAAAAAATGTATACTGAATAAATGAATGAATGACAGGACCCTAAACATATCACTCTCCAACAATTCTAGATAAACAGGTATCTGTGGTTCTGGAACCATTCTACAGTTCCAGGAGATCACTGCAGAAGTGAAAATACAACAGGGAAAAACCCTGAGCCAATGGTTCTTAACCAGAGACAGCTGTGCCCCCCACCTAAGGGAACATATGGCCGTCCTGGAGACATTCTGGCTGTCACAATGAGGGACGGGTGCTACTGGCATCTTGCAGGTAGAGCCCAAGGATGATGATAAATATCCATCAATGCATAGGAAAGACTTCTATGACAAAAATATCCATCCCAAACTGGTGCTATGATAAAGAAACCCTGCCCTAAACATAAATTTTTTAAGCTTAGAAGTCATAGGGTTTAGGGTAAAGACCTGGTTAAGTACAAGATCAAAAACGGGTAACAATCCAAATATGTAAGATACTTAAAAGTCCTGCCAGTTAATATTTTCTAGGCCAACATGTTAAATTTGAATTCTGGTGTCTTAAAGATAACATAAAAGCATAAATCTGCAGGGGCTAAATGCCTACTACTTGTACAAGCTGAGAGGTAGGAGCAAGATTGCACAGGGTGATGTCGAAGGTTGACTGCACAAAGAAGCCATTCAATAAATGGAAAAAAACAGCCAAAAATAAAAAGAACAAATAAAACTTTCAGTATGGGCTGGAAGGTCTCAGTTCCTTAAGAATTTTAGACTTAAGTGTTGCCAAATGATAGTCCAAATTGGGCAGGCTGGGCAAACATAGGCTAAGGAACATCAGAACCTAGGCTGTAGCCTAATGCCCATGAATAATGTCAGTTTCCCTAAAAAGACACAACTTTACAAGACAAAAGGTCTTAGGAAAGGAAGACTGAAATGGACACTAAAAGGGAAAGAACAAGAAAACTGAGATAAGAATAAAGGCTATTCCAAACTTAGAAAAGTCAGGTGAGGAGTAGGCACAGCCAGGAAGGTAAAGGGAGGTAATCAGGTTCTTCTCTCATTTGGTCCTCATAATAAAAACGGAGAAAGTTAAACCAAATTAAAAACAGTGAATAAGGGGCACCTGGGTGGCTCAGTGAGTTAAAGCTTCTGCCTTCGGCTCCGGTCATGATCCCAGCGTCCTGGGATTGAGCCCCACATCCGGCACTCTGCTGCCCGGGGAGCCTGCTTCCCCCTCTCTCTCTGCCTGCCTCTCTGCCTACTTGTGATCTCTGACTGTCAAATAAATAAATAAAATCTTAAAAAAAAAAAAAAAACACAGTGAATAAAACTATTCTAAAGAATCCAATCTTGATGGCATATTACATGTAAGTTTTGTTGATTTTCTTTAAAAGATTTTATTATTTGACACAGAGAGAGAGAGAGAGCACACAAGTAAGCAGAGCAGCAGGCAGAGACAGAAGGAGAAGCAGGCTCTCCGCCTAGCAGAGAGTCCCAATGGGGGGCTAGATCCCAGGACTCTGGAACCATGACCTGAGCTGAAGGCAGCCGCTTAACCAACTGAGCCACCCAGGTGCCTCAATTTTGTTGATTTTTTTAAAAAAATGAATATTCAGTGTAAAAATGCTTTCTTTCGTTCCTAAGACTTAGTGGCTCTATGACCACAGAGTTCCAAGAGTTCTTTTGTTTTGTCATAAAGCATCAGTGACCCCTAAATTCAGAATTTCGTTTCATCTCAAACAAGATATACATTTCAGGATACTTAATAAAAATCCTAAACCATCTGCCAAATCCCTCAGTGGGGAGTGGGGAATGAGAGAGAGGTGACAGTGTGTGTAGGGCAGAACACTTTTCCCCCATTTCCCCCATGAAATGTCATGGCATTTCAGCTCACTTGCTAATTATCTACCTGAGAGGTTTAACATCAGTCCTTTTTAAGCTCCATCTGCTGATGAGTAAGGTTTGGGAGTGCCAAAGGTGTATTTATTTAATAAAACATCAATCTTGCCAAATGCTGATCTCTCATGAAGTTCATAAAAGTGGGACAGGTGATCAAATAACTCATACAAGATGAATATAAGTTAATTTCTCAGAGTCACACTGATCTTATTTCAGTTGCATTAAAATGTACTAATAGAGACTCTAGAGGTTGTTTTGTAATTTTAACTATTATTGTTTAAGAAAAAATAACTTTTAAAAATGCATAAAAACAGGAGAGCCTGGGTGGCTCAGTGGGTAAGCCTCTGCCTTTGGCTCAGGTCATAATCTTGGGGTCCTGGGATCAAGCCCTGCATTGGGCTCTCTTCTTGATGGAGAGCCTGCTTCCTCCTCTCTCTCTCTCTCTGCCTGCCTGTCTACTTGTGTTCTCTCCCTGTCAAGTAAATAAATAAAATCTTTTTAAAAATGCATAAAAACAATAAAAGGTCAATAAGAAGATTTCATTAAAGAATATCCTATTCTTTTTCTTGAAAAATCAAAACTTGTTAAAAGCATATGTAGGCTTCTTTGGAGGAAGTGAACTCTTTCTCTCAGAAAAGTAGTAAGGCAATCAATCCTACTTTCTTATATTAAAAGTCACTATATGACATTTTTGCCATCAGCAATCTACTTCACTATAACCTTAGAGTAAACAAAAATAATTTGTTAATCAAAGAAATCATTCACCCCAACCTCATTATCTTGAAGGAAAAAAGGGGAAATATTACATTAAAATTGATACTAAGTATATTCACAAGTAGGTGAATATACTGAAATTACCAACACAATGAAAGATTAATTTGTATCTAGAACAGGAGA